CCGAAACATCTTCAGTCCTCATTTTCAAAATAATCCTGCCTTTACACTCAAAAGGAAATCTTGCGATTAACCGTGTGATCAGGGAGTGGTTGTCACAAAACCCCTGCCCAAAGTTACTGTCCTGCAACGTCTGCCGGCAGAGCTGGTGAAGTGAGTGCTCCTTACCTGTCTCAGTGAAGGCTAACTAAGATTAGCCAAGCCCTGCTGTTTCTAGTTTTGAGATGAATGTGGCTTCCTCAGACTGAAACCGAGTTGGGAAGCACTAACAGGCAGCCCTGCCAGCCAACCTGAAGGGCAGGGGGAAAGTGAAAAGCAGCTTGGGGCTGCCTGAGAACTAGCAGAGTAATTTGCGGAGTGCACGCATGAGAGTAGGTCGTTCCCTCACTTTCACTCTGCGGGAATGTGCAATTGCTTCCTTCCCTGTGAATCTCTCATCTCTAAGTGACATACCTTCACTAGTTTAACTACATTTAAAAAAAAAAAAAAAGTATTTGTACGTGTACACATGCAGTTAAACCAGCGCAGAGTGTTGTATGGATTCTCTTTGCTAGATTTAAGGATAACTTTCTGTAATAAAACGAGACTGCCTAGAGAGTTTTGGAAATCAGTGGAACAAATTACTTAAGCTGAAGTCACACCACTATCGTTCCTAAACAATCCTGTGAGTTCGCCTTCAGTGACCAGTGTGTACAGCCCCTGTTCAAAAGCTTGTTTGCAGAAGAGAAGTGCCTCCTCAACTCGTAATTTCGTCCCCGAATTTTGAGCAATTTTGGAATCGAAACCCATGCTACTGCCTTGTAAAAGAAAGAAAAAAACTCTTTACGAGTCTCTTCATCCTGCTCCGTATCGTCCTCTTCATCCTCTTCGTCGTTGAGGTTTATGATCAGTGGAGGGTGAATTGGTCTTAAAATAGTCTCTTGAGTTCTGAGTGGTTCTTGACGATGGGCTGGATGCAGAATCCCTTCTTGGACACCCTGTTGTAATGGGGCATCTGCAGAAAAGAACGTGATCTTGATTTTGTTTGGAGGGAACTAGATATCGAATCCAAGCTCAGACCAGCAGGTGTAGTTTTGAAATCCTTATCATACTGAAGGACTCGTTACATAGACAGATTGTGCCTTTTAGGCAAAATACTTTAATTTAAAATAATAATAATTTACACTTCATTAGAAGAAAATCAGAAAAGACAGTCTTTTCCTCAGGCATTTCTATCTCCCCATAATGTCTGCAGCAAAACGGTTTCAGCACTGGGATAGCATTTTCTGAGCGCCAGGAAATGCAAGGGACTGAAAATAAACATGGTGAAAAATGGTGGGTCCATTTGTATTGTTGAAGCCGACCAATTTGCAGCTATAGATACAACCCGGATTCTGTGCATTCTATCAGAAGTATTGAAGCGGGCTATGTTTTGCAGTTTGAAAGCGAGAAGGTGAAGCACGGGCATTTTCTTTTATTCCAGGTGTTGTTAGTTGTGTGCATCTCTTGCTTGCCTACGAGCAGCATGCGTATCATCTTAAACCCATTTCAGTACCACTCCTGCAGATGGGATTTGTTGTATCTCATGCAAGAGAAAGTAAGGTGCAACACTTTAGCTTGATAGAGCCTTTTTCAGTGTCCCGACTAGGATATTATTAGCTCTGCGGAGTGTAAGCCCAATCAAACTTAAATGAGTTTAACAAGATTTTGAAGTATTAAGCGGAATAAATGCAGTGTTGGTATTGGCAATGTTATTGTGGAGCACGCGGACTTTGAATTTGAATCCATGTAACGTGTTGTGCTCTATCAACAGATACTGCTACTAGTGGAAGGAGGATCCATAGCATGACAGCTCAAAACCCCCATATGGCCCCCCTATTCAAATGCCAGGGCAATTCCTTTCTGTGCCTTGAACTTGCTGGGAGAGCAGACCGTACCTGAGTGATTTGCCATGGTACAGTTCTCGACCTTAATAGATATTACGGGAGCGCTGGAAGGACGATTTTGTGTATTTACTTACGCTAAGGAACAAATTGTTGAGAAAGTATTGTTACTCACTGTTGCTAGGTGGCAAAAAAAGTCCATTTATATGACGAGGTTTGCTATGATGGAATGCGCAGCTGATCCTCATGCAGCCTATGGGTTGTGTTTCCCAGTAACAGCGGATGTTGCTGTACTTCTGCTGCAGGAGAAAACGGTTTTCAGATCTTGTAAAAAGAAGCAGAAAAAGGACCAAATGGATGAATAGGTGGTGCCCTGCTGTGCAGATTTTGTGGAACCACATTCTGATATTTTAGAACGTTTAAAGTTATCTTAAGCTCCAGATAACTCTAAAGTTGCCCCGAGTGAGCTCAGACAAATAGGAACTCGGGTTTATAGCCTGGCTATGACCTACATCCCAGCGGAGAGCTGCAAATGCCAGGTTGCCGGTTACTTTTTAACGCGTTTCTCTGTAATTTTTTAAAGGAAGACAAAGTCACACGTGAAAATATTGAAATATCCCCCGGTTCCAGACATTAACAGCTGGGGCTAGGAGCAGCACCTCCAAAACACGCCGCTCTTGGACTGTAGTCAGTACCACTGGACCATCTGCCGAGACACGCTGGGGTCTGGAGCCGAGGTATCAACTTCTACCTTTACATAATAAACCTCCCTTTCAAGACGGATATATCAGGAAAATGAAGGCTACAAACCACTCTGCAATCTACAGCATTTACCTGTGCGTAGGGGGAATAGAAATGGGAATAGCTGTCACTCCCAGCTGCGGCCATTTTCACCTCCTGTGCTTCTCCACTCTCTTAACGCTGGCAGAACATACAGGAAAACGTTAAAGCTATCAACGTTCAGGCAAATTGTAATCTTATCCTGAAAGCGGGAGTTTTCTTTCAAAAACTGGACCTTCAGAACCTTAGCTCTGCTGCTTTTTTGAAACAAAACTCCCACAGACAGCAAAATACGCTTGAACGAAGGAGGTGGTACCTTCTCCAGCCTTGCTGCACCGACGAAGGCAGTTTCCAGCCGGTATAGGATG